AAGAGGCTTTTGGCGCGCTTGCATCGTACACACAACTCACCCCTTTCTCGCTTTGCTCCACATACCGGCGAATCACCGTGTCGCCGAGGCGCGGTCTCTAATGGCGCCCTTTGACCGAGAGACAACGCGGCGCCGTCTTTGTCGTGGAGGCTTTAGTGGGGCTGGGATTCTCCCCGTGGCTTTGAGATTTCACCCCTCCCCCCACTTTTTTGTCTTCGCTCCTCGAATGGCGCGAGGTGGAATCAAGCTGCCTTTGAGTCGTCCGGGAAGGCCAAGAGTGACGTGGTTCCGGCACTCGCGTGAATCACTGGTTTCCGTAGTTGGCGCGAGGGGAGGGCGAGAACTGGGTTGTCCTTACAGGGGGTTGTTGTTCGACGCATCGATCGTGGCTGTTTTTATGTGTACACTTTTGTATCTCATTAGCCCCGCGAGCTGTTGTTATAACGGATCGAACGGGCTTAACGGCTTCGAGGAGCCGAATACTTTTCTCGGGGCTCCGCGCTCGACTGGTTGGGTCGATTGAATATTCAAACGGATGGGCGTGGTGTAACCGAGAAGCCACTCCGAGAAATACAGAGTATGGATGTATTTACGCGCTCGGGGCTTGTTTGGTCACGTCGGTGTTGGAGTCGTCAACAAAAACTCTTGGTTATACTTACTCGATGTATTATTTAGTTATTTTTTCTTTGTTCGGAGTTTTCATTGTTTTTTCTATGTAGACGAGTGAAGGTGCTGTCTCTGCTTCCGTGGGAAAAATTTTTGGATTCGTTTATTTTTTCATGTTTACTTTCGGGGTATGCTTTTAAACGAGTAGAGTTTGCCAAGGGAAAATTTCGTACAATTTTGTTCAAACTAACTTTTTTGAACAAGTTCATATTACTTATTAGGCTGAAACAAGTTTTTTCATACTAGTTCTTTTGATCATTATAGAAAAAAAGGTCCCTTGTAATTTTTCCAACTTATTAACACATGGAATGTTTAGAAAATTAGATGAAAATGGAAAATTTTTAAGCTTTAAATCCAAAACAACATGGATTGGACGTTTTTTAACCGGAAAAACCAATGTAAGAAAACTGTGAAGTCAAAAAACTTGGCTGTCACAGATTTAAAACGTTTACAAATGTGTAAAATCCATGACGTTAATGTTTTACCCTCTACAGCCTTCTTATGTCAATTGTAGAAGAAAAACAGATGTTTAGTTTAATAGAATGTGTGAAATAGATTACGAAGCATCAATTTGGTTTTCCTTAAAACGTTTATCAAGACAACTACAATGCATTTTATAAAAAATAGAAATTTCGATTACACGATTTAAACGTGTACTCTAACACACTTGGATTTGACAGTGAAATGTTACATTTGAGCCCAACGCACCAAGTGCTTATTTTGCGCACGGATTTTCATATAATAGCCCAAATGAGAGCTCTCAAATTTAAATTTTTGCAGACTGAGTGTCAAAAAAATAATATATCCAATACGTGTACGTGGTGATTCGGTCACATTTGTGTGATTTTTTACGTAGTAGGAATGTTGGGGAGGGTGGCCTAAGGCGGGTATGTTAACGTTTAGGGCACATAAAATTTAGTATTTTCATGATGACAATAATAAATTCTATTTTTTTATAGAGGTCACATAGGACTTGGAAATGAATAAGCAACAGTGTGTCGTTATCTATTAATTTCTGATCAACTATTAAAAATAAAGATGCCCTTTAAAAAACCGCTTCGCCCTTGGGAGGGGGGGGGGGTTGTTGGTCATACATTAAGAGAAAAAAATTATAAAAATTATAGAGAAATTCCAGAAAATATTACCATTAAGCACAGTAAATCGGAAAGGAAAAAATGTATTATTTTTAACAGTAAAAATTATTGTTTGAACAGTTAAAATACTTAATGGTTAATACAGTAAAATTACTATGCTGGAGCAATAAACTTTAGAAGGATCGATTAATAAATTTTACTTTCCTGCATCGAAATTTTTACGGTTCTAAACATAATTTTTACTTTTGAACCATTATTTTAACTGTTCAAACAATAATTTTTACTGTTAAAAACAATAATTTTTTTTCTTTCTTGCCAGCTTCTATTCGATTTATTGTGCAAAATGGTAATTTTTACTGGAACTCCTCTATAGTTTTTTTTTTCTCTCAGTGTAACGAATAATGTAAGTGCTAGTCGGATACCTGCTAAGCAACCTGCTTTGCACAAGTACACGTTTTTTGTTTACGTAATGCTTATCTCAGAAATTAAAAGAAAATGCCAATATTTTTGGCTCAATTTCAACTTTGATGGGCTCAAGTTAATAGAAAAGTATTACCGATACAATAAGTATATTTATTTTTGACTGATCACAAAATACATACCTCTAATTTTTTTAATGAAATTATTCATTTTTTGGAAATTGCGTATAATACGCCATACCACTGTGTAACGGCTTGTTTACGACTGAGTGATTCTGGGAGTTTACTCGGGGTAATCTCGAATCTCGACATATACCCACACCTTGCCCCTTGCGTTTGATGGGCCGAAAAACAAGCACCTACCTACTTTAGACCACCTATCCCTACAACTTAAAGTCTCAACTCAACATTGTACAAACTTTTGCTGCTATTTTTCGCGACAAGGGATACAACGTCGTGGTCTCTAAAATATCTTGAAACCAAAAAACAAAACATGAATTTTCTTCTAAAAGAAACTTTGGGCATTTCCAGTGCTGCACTAAAATAAAAAAGAAAACCTAAGCTTCACTGCACGTCTTACCCGCTCGAAGAAGTAATTTTAAAAATTAAACGCACGGAGATTTGAATTTTTTCCCTCTCCCGTGCCCGAAAAAGCAGCTCGAAAGCTTCAGACCAAAAAAGTTTGTTTCTCGAGGAGTCTGCAACCGAAGCTCTTCTCGGCGCGCGATACTTGCAAAAGCTCCATTATCTTTTATTTGACTGCGCGCGCGAACACTGGCACAAGAGAGAAAAAAATAGAACGTGTTATTCTTGCCTCCAACCCACCCTTTCCTGCAGCATATTTGGCATGCACCTGCACTCCCTTTCTTTCAAACCTCTCCTTTTCAACAAAACAAGTACATAGTGCCATTTTTCGTTACTAAAAACCGCACTGAAAAAAAAGTTAAGAAATTTCGTTGTAAAAACAATTGTAAAGTAGTGATTAATTTATCCTTAAACTAACTTTTCTGCAGCTTAACAAGAATTTTTTTCTACTAGAAAAATTCATCTCAGTTAGCTATAACTTTTACTCTGAAGCTATGGAAAAATAGGACGTCAAACGTCGATAATGTGTCAATAATATATATAGATACAAAAATTATTTATAAATTGAGGTTATGAAAAAGATGGTTTACCGTGTAGCTAAGATGAATCTTTCTGCTAAAAATGACCGCGAACCTACGGTGCAAGTTTTCGTTAAGGTTCGTTAATCACAATTTACGGTCAAAATTCATGTGATATCTTTCTCCGTGCAGTATACCGGAAAATGTGCACCCAACCTATATACCTCCTGTACTATGTAATTCCGTTGTTCGCTTGCAGCGCCGGGCTGAAAATTAAACCTCAAATATCCCCTCGAACTCACCAAACATCAGCGCCTCTCACGATCGCGATCCGAATATTGCATTTCAGTACCGAAATACGTACAGAGTCGAAACCAACACTGCCTCTTCTTGCGAGAGAAAGACAAAAAAGCCCCTCGCATATTTCGCGCTTACAGGACCCGCCCACCCCTGCATTATCGGTATTTTTAGACGTGTGGACCCAGAATTTCGCAAACACAGGGCTGTTGAAAATTAAAAAAAAAAAAAAAAAAAGCCGTGGGGATCCCGCTGCAAATCAGGTTAGTCGGGATTACGGCTCGTTCGCGCTGAAAGGCCGACTCGAGAGAGGCTCATATGCATATGCTCAGTGCAGCGTAGGGATGAGAGAGTGCGCTTTGCGAGCCCTTGCGGTTGAATTATTCATTGGCGTTATAACTTAATGCCATTCCGTTTGTGTGAGTAAATGTGCGCTCTGTCGATCCTCCTTGTGCACTTTCCGACTCGCGAAAGCTTTTTGGTGACTTTGCCCTGTTCTTCTTACTTTGCGATCTCATGCAAAATTTGGCGGTCGATGCCGAGTTCCCTGTAAAGTCCGTGCTATAATTTCGCGCGAATGATGCATCCGAGTCCCCGTGGGGCTGTGCGAATATAGTGTCCCGTCGGGGCTCAGAGCTTGCGGCTACGACTTTTTCTTCCTCATTCTGCAAAGTTGCTGTGAAGCATCCAAGGAGGAGATGCATCGCTTTCACGGAGGACGTACGCTTGAGCGATAAAAATGCCATTCCCGATAGAAAAATGTTACCCCTCCCCCTTCAGCCCCCCCTACTATGTTGGCTGGGGCATTTTGAGCTTTAGAGCCCCATTACTGCTAGTTGTGTGGGTGGCGATAGTTTGTTGGCGGTTTTTCACGCAGGGGTGTTATTTATCGGTCGGTTGTACGGTCTACGTTTGGATGTCTTGTTTGTTTGTTGGGATTCGGTAAAATTGTTTGCTTGTTTCGTCAGAAACTCGCGAACGTTTAATTTCTTGTATATTTTGTAAAAACTTTTTTTTACTCCGCTTAGACCGTTGGGTGGATTATCAAACAATATAGGGTACATTTTTCAAATTTTTTCACAAATCCCCCCCTTCCCGACTCTTTGATATAGGTTCGTCTTTGTTGACTTTTGCCTGCATAATATTTCTAATAGAACCTGACGGGCCTGTAATAGAGTTTTTTTCCATAAAATCCCAGTTAGATCGAGTCAAACACAACCAATTTCATTGCTGGGCGAAATAATACCACGACACCTTCATCCCTACCAACGTAATCGTTTCCATTATACATTTTCGTCAGAGTCATCTGACAATTAAAAGTCTTTTTTGTCCCAATACGACTTGATTGTCCATCGTACCTTATTCTCGATACATCAAAAGATGAGAAAAAAAAAAGGAAAGAAAAAGCAATGCCAACTCACCTTCTCCTCGACCTTCTCCACCAGCTCCTTAGCGGCGCCAGCCGCCTGCTCGACCTTTTTCGACATGTGTTCCCGCAAAGACTCCTGGGCTTTCGACGCTACGCCACACAGCTCTGCAACAGTTAAATTTTAACGTCAATATACTCCCGGCTCGCCTTACCCCGAATAATTTATACCACTGAGGAGCAAACCCTTCGCGTAAAGAAAGTAACATCGAAATGCACAAAAGAGAATTCGGCACACACGAGTCGCGGTCGATGTATATTATTACCCAAAGGGACGCGTCATCCAAGTGAAACCCCATGAATATTTGACCACGAGCCCAGAAAGACCGAATAATCTAAAAAAGTCGCGCGCCAATGTGATTCTGCGGTTCATACCTTTGACCTCCCCCTGCACCTCCTGTTTTAGCTTATCCTTGATGGAGAGCGGTGTCTCCTGCTGCTCTTCCCGGGCGGTCTCGGGCTCGGTCTCCTTGAGGTTCTTCCTCGTATGGTGTCCACGGAACGCCGCCTGTATCCGCGTCGCTGCTTCCTCCTCTTTGCTCTTATCGTCCTCCTCCTGGCTCGCGGAGTCCTTTGCTTCCTCTTTCGCGCTGTCCGCTGGCGTAGACTCCTCAGCGGCTGGTGCGGTGTCCACCGACTTCGGAACGTCTGTAACGCAAAAGATAACGGGGGCGTGAACATCACTATGCTGGACGCACGATTTGATCTCCGGGTTGACGCACAGTGGGACGAGACCGAATTTTTTTTTTTACAAAGTAGCTTATAAAAACTGTTACTTGTAAGTACATTTTTTTGTTTAGAGTTTTTTTGATGCTTGAACGAAAATTACATAAAACTGCTTCAGTAACATTGAACAAAAGAAGTATGAATCAATTTTTCATCGTATACGCATTATTGATAAAAGCATGTAACACGAAATTATCCTCTACTTTTCAATCCATTCATGAAAACGTATTTCTATATACTTCTGAATATCTTTTATTTTCAACTTTTTGCATTCAAACAAAACCATTTTCCTATAGTTTGTTTGACTCCCAGCTTAAAACTTTTTTATCTTCTGAAAAATTAAGTAGAAACATACGAGTAAGGTAAGACCAGCCGTTGTTGGACAGACACAGAAATTAAACTGATCTCACTTGATCTGTATTTGAAATCGAAATCGACAGTTTTTAATTTGTGAAAAATAAATTTAAAAAAAAGAAAATGAATGCAGTGTTATCAACAATAAACAGTTTTAAAAAATCAGAAAAATAAAAGCCTAAAAAACAGTATAATTTGCTAAACGCAGTAATTCTTGTAAATCATCTAACTACTCGCGTAAAAATTTTTAAGTTTGGCCAAACGTAAAAATTTTTATGCGGGTAGCAAGAGATGTTTGACGTACAGGAAAAAATTATTATTAAACAACAAAATAATAAGCCTGCCTTACCAAATGGGTAAATCACTTAGGATAAAATTAAAAAAAAAAAAAATCATGACATGTCGTTTTTAGTTTTTACCACATTTTAAATCATTTTGTAATCAAAAAAGTCAGTTTTATCTCATTGTAAGGTGGAATATAGGTAGAATATTTACAAGATGTGAGATGAAAACTTTTCAGACACATTTTGCGGATGCTTCGTTTACCCCTTGGCACATTGCTGATGCTTTGCAGTTGCTTTGAAATAAAGTATATGGTTATACGAGTTTTCCAAGTCATTTTTTTCCTTGTAACTCCTGCAAATCTCTTTGATTGCCGAATCAGTTCCCCCGATTTGCATTAGTACAAATATACTTGGAGAAACGTAGAAAGCCAATAGAGGGCCAAAAAGAGAGGTTTGCCTCTCGATTTCCGGACGCGGTCGCCGACGCGTTGCGAAGGGGATACATTCCCAAAAACGTTTAGAAGCTCCGTGACTCACGAAAGGAAAAAAGAGGCTACCGAGTTTCATGGGGGAAAAAAGATGATGGATTCGAGGCTGGGAAGGAAAAAAGGCAGAGCCCTGAAAATTCGAGCTTGTCGCGCGATAAGCCCTGCTTTTTTGTCCTCCAGCGGCAATTAGCTTTCGAGGCGTGCACTGTACGGAGCTCATCTTCCCTGGTGCACATGAGTACAAGCGAGGAAATCCCCGCTCGGATAAGGGGCAAGAAAAAGAGAGCACGAGGTTGAGTGAAAAAAGCCGTGGCGTACAAAAAAAGAAGGGAAAGAGCTCGGTTGAGTCATTGTCGAGGGAGCCGCTCGAGACACGCGTGTTTGATCTCTCTCTGGCTGGTTCTGTTCGCGCTCGAGCCTCCCCTTTATTTTTTAGCGCTACCCTGTGCGTTGTGTCTTTGTACCATGCGTATGATCATTTTTTTCCTCCACCCTTCCGGAATGGCAGTCTTTGTTAATTCTGGATTGCGTGGGTGAAGAAGAACGAGGAAAAAAGAGGGATTGTCATGTAAATGCTGGCCAAGATTACTATCTGTCGAGTGTACGGTAAATCTCTCTCTCTGCGTGTGTGTTTGTGTGTGTGTGTGTATGTAGTGTTCCAAAGAGGGAAGAGCCAGCGATATCGGAAAATTTATGGCAGAAAATTGAATTAAGGTTTCCATGCAGGGTTTTATCACGAGATAGATAAACTGGATTTATCTTTTCAAGATGCCCTCTTTTATTTATTTCATTGTGAACGAACATTTCTTCGTACAATTTATAACCTGCCAAGCCAAAGAGACTGATTCGCATGCTCTCGTGTCCAAGTCTTGATATTTCCTATTTGGCTCAGTGGCTTTGAGCCCTTGCATACGAATGAGGAAAAAATAAATAAATTTTTCGCTTTTTACGTTTCATGGGTAGGTGTAGGTTTATCAAAGAGAGCATTTTTGTACGTACAAAAATGAAGCACGTGATTTATATCTTTGTAGTACTCTGATCCCCCTTATTTCTTCAAGGTTCAGCGCTACGTCGAAAGTCTTGCGAATAGAACGAAACTTCGGGGATTTGTATAACGAACCACCATAAATTATTTGTAGAGTTCGTTAGAAAAATAATAAGATTAAGTCATGTAGAAATAGAGTTTTCAAAGTACCTATAGTCATTCAAAGAGTAGTACATTTTTTATGTTCACTATGAATTAAACTTTACAGCACTGAAATAGAATGAATTGCAGTAATTGTTTTTTTACAGCATATATTATTTAAATCTTGTCTCAGTTGACTATTTTAGGTGCACGCCTTGGCCTGGTATGAATGGTATTGAAGTACGACTGCTCACAACGGGTTATAGTAAACATTTTCGTTTGGGGTTGGCAGTTGTCTGAAGCACTCACTGCTTTATTATGTAGTTAGATACACAGTACCTTTGTGAATGGTTTTTTAAACATTGATTAAGCTCGAAAAACATTTAAAATCAGTAATTGAGTATTAAAGTGCCAAGTACTTTTCCATTAGTGTTGAACATCAGGTTCAAAAACTTATTTTACGCAAACAAACGTGTATTTGAAAAAATCGCATGGCTCATCCCAAACAAATTCGAAACAACCGTGTGATTTAGACTCTCTTTCATCTCCTAACGGAGGGGACTCTCCCTATCATTACTTCGGGTCTTGGAAAAAAAACATTTTTTTCTTTTCTCCAAGAGCTCGGCTTTATCGTGTTCGCTCGTCTCCCGAACCGTAAAAGAGTGCGGAAAAGCAATTTTCCCTTGGTTTTTCATCCAGCTGCGTTTTTTCTCTTGTAAAAGCGGACGAACAACCGACTCTTCTCTCATTGAGGAAATGCTGACTAACTTCCCTTGTCCCCCAAGCCTGAGATTAAAGGCTCCTTTTTTCGAGGTTCACTGCTCGTATGCTTTGTAGACTCGAGTTCTCGCTACACGAAGTATTCGGTGTAATCTTAATTCGCTCCCTGAGGGAAGAATATGCAGTTTATTTCAATTTTTGTAGGATTCAAATTTTTAGTCATAATTGACCCACCACGTCAGGATTTCAATGTATTAGGTTCTGTAATAAAACAATCCCTTTTTAGAATATTTTTGAGGTTATGTCCAAAATGTATTAATTTATCCTACTCTTCTTCTTCAACTGTATCACGTAGTACCATTTGTTTCTCTCAGAAATAAATGATCCAATAGTCATCCAGAGATTTTCTCGCAAAACTGTCGTCAATTTTACATCTTATCGTGAAATCCTACAGTCTTATTGTAAGGTTATAACGATCCGTGGGATGTATTCCGTGATGTGATATGAAAAGGTCGTAACTTAGCGAGGAAAAATTGTAGATGATTATGTGACAGCTCATTATGGAGGGGAAGAGTGGCACTAGAAAAAAATACCCAGTTACTAGGAAATTTTTCGACCAACTATATTAATATTCTTAGGTGATATTTTTGATCATTGCCAACGATAGCTGTTTAATATACTTTCTTACTTGTAACTATTCTTTACCTGTTGTAACTACTTAATTTTATCGAGCACTATTCGCTCTGTACACAAATGGAAAAAATTGGAACTTCGACACCCAATTCGCATTTAAAATACATGTATTAACCGACACTAGCGCCAAACCTATGAATGGAAGGTTTTAAGTATGAATACTACTCTTTTTTTCATTCATATAAACAATAAGAATGCGTATTAAAATGTTTTTTATATTTTTCTAAATGCGTCAGTTAGAAAAACTTTCTATTATTCAGAGAACAATGATATTTTTACGAAATCATCTACATTGAATCGCTGTTTAATATTAATTATAAATAGTATATCGCTGAGTTTTTCTGAAAAAAATTAAATGATATTCATCATGTTTATTTTAATTCACCTTTGAAATTAATTTACCTACTCAAAAAATTTAACTTTATTTTACATCCAAATGCTATGTAATTGGTTCTTACGCAATAGCGAATTATTTTACCTTTGAGTACATAACCTTCAAATATCTTGAAATTCTGGCGTGATTGGTGGATTCCAAACTTCCAATTCGGATTTTACGCAAATGATTCAACACCCAAAAATAATCATGCTTCACAATGCAAATAATATTCGTCAAAAACTTGCACACGAGAAATGATTGTAATTAGACAACGCGCGGCTTACGTACATGTATAGTGCACCCATAGGCGAGCCCATAGGTACGTGTAATCGGTGAAATTGAAACATCAATAGTAATCGAGCTGAGAGACGATAACGTGGCGCTTGCACACGGATGCGCACTGGCATAATTAGTACTATCTATGCAGAACTGATCGGGCGATACGGTGGTACACTGATTGTAAGCTGATTTGCTACATGGGAAAATCCATGGAACTTTTGATTTTCAAAATCAACTAAAATTTATAAAAATGAATTTGTTAAGAAAAAATAGCTCTTTTTTTTTATCAACAAGTAATTTTGTGCATCTTGGTATTCAAGCGTTCATTACTTAAAAGAGAAGCAATTTGTTGACTTTAAAATTCAAACACGCTATAGACTTAATAAAAATAGCAACAACAAAAATTTATTCTTACCTTTCAAATAAAGTTAAACGAGAATTCTTAAGACTCAAATTTACAGTCACTAAGGGTGAAACTTTCGTAGATTTGCCTATATGTATGTATGTATGTGTCCATGAGATCTAAACGATGTAGAGAGATGGGCTAGTAATCCAGTGATATTGCAATGTGCCACACTCGTCGTTTGTGTCGATTTTCAGTA